TACAAGGTCCGATTCACTAGACAGAATCTTGTGGTTGCCGGAGGGGCATTTCTGAGCTGAACAGTACGGACGGCCTTTAGTGCTGAAGGCTGCAAAAAAAAAGAAGAAGAAAAAACGCATTTATTCGGACGCCTAGGATTGCAGGGTAGGGCGTTGAACCCGGATCAATGGTATCATCCGTTGAGTTTTTGCATTGATCTTACGGCTTGCATCAATGTCTTGACTTGAGCTCTTGTACATACTACAACCGTCGAAATTCTTTCATGTTCAAATGCCTTTGTATTTCAGTCTCTCGATGCGGTAGAGTGAAGGTCTCTGAGATCCCGGACATCTTTGACCGTGAAAATATTGACCAGAGCGGACTATTCCTAGTAAATTTTCCATCATCCACCATTCAAACCTACCGCGAAGCTTAATTATCAGGCCAAAATTATCTATCGACGCTTATCCGTATATTCGATCCTGAGCAGTGTAGCCCAACAGCTTCCACAGTTCTAATTGCACCTTCACCGTGGTACGCTTCAATTTGATGACTGCAAACTGGTCACCATAGTGATCAGGCTGGCTTTCTTGCAAGGCGTTGAGTTGACTGGGGCCGAGCAGGGCGGCTAGGTTGTAGTATGGTACGTAGCGGGTTCTGTGGTAATGCATCGCGTAAGGTGGTGGCCCTGTTTCTCTAACGTTGAATGGCGTTGCATCGCTAGTCGACGATTTGTCATGGATCGAAATTTCGGCGTCTTTCCTTAGCCATAGCACGGCGGCAACTTGACCGTGCTTATTGATGTTATCATAACTCTTGCACGGAGCAATATAAGCTGCCGGCCTTGAGGCAAGATATGATAATGTCTCTGATACGTTTCTTCGGAGAATTTCAAGAACAAAGATATCCATGTCTTCGCGCCAGACTATCTCGGACAATCTGACGCTGGGGTCCTGTCTCCAACGATAGGGCATCAGTCTATTGTAATGAGGAGGTGTAAGGCTCGAGACGTGCGCGAGGACTTGGCGGGTTGCAAGGAAGTGTGTGCTTGATAATGTACGCATGGGGCTTTCCATAGTCGTTGATGCGTCGGGCTCCAGAAAAGACGGTGGGATCCCTTCGGGATTTCCATTGGGTATCTTGCCATCGCTAGGATTGGACACTACTTGTGTTGAGAGCTTTGGAAGATGCCATGGTGCCCCAGTTTTTGGGTGTGTCGAGACACCAAAGGGAATCTGGAAGTAGCTTGGCAGTCGAAGGCCTGTTAGGACGCATAGTCGAGGTGGAGTCGCTAGTGCAATGGCTGCAATCCTTGTTAGCTTTATGCTTTGTCCCAGAGATCAATGCATGTATACCATAAGGATTTTTCTGCAGCTTCAATTGGAATGGTGAGGGATCTCCGGATGGAAGGGGTTTCACTGCTCTGTGACGAATTCGAGCAGCCACGAGACCCGGATCTGTCAACGGTGACTGAGGTAATCGATGTATACGAGTAGCAAGAGGCGATGCTGCTTGTGGGAGAAAATCGTCCTTTTGTGAGTCAAGGCCATCCGAGTTGGTTTGAGCAGTCGCTGTAGAGGTAGCGTTTTCCTTGTCCTGATGAATGATGTCCAAAAGCTCGGCGTTGCTCAGTTGCTTCACAGCTGGATTTCGAGAGACAATTCGTCGTAATGTTCTTAGACCACGATGATCCCATGATCGTAGGATCGGTATGCGCCTTGTTGGGAAGCATTTTCTCATCACCTCTGGTGAGTGCTCCGAGAGAAAGGTGGAAAAGTGTTTGCGGAGAGCAATTTCCCCGGCGGCGGAAGATTTTTGACCACGTCAGACCTCTCGCGACACCAAGCTCGACTACCTAAATGAAGCTTCCCTTTCCCTCTCATCCCTAGCTCTTACTGATGTTCATTATGATTGTGTTCAATATTTGCAGAGCACCGATATCCCCAATTCTAAGTGCTGCTGCCCTTCGAAATGCCTATAGGCTAGGTTTAAGACGCTTCTCCGGCCATGCTGGATCACAACCGTCGCGAGCATGGACGCCAACACCCTATGTTACTGAGACCATTGTAGGTCTTCCTCACCGCTTCGGAGATCGATACAAGCATACTGACTAGCTAGGGAGGTGGTTGGCGTACTCGTAAAGCCATAACCCTACACGATCAATTGCCAATAGCTGACGTTCTAAAAAGATGACATCTTCTCGAGGCTGCTAATGGTTTGTTCCTAGTATTTATTTCTCAATTGCCGCCTGCTCACTGTTTACGCTCTAGGAACGCATCATCTGCCTCAACGGTGCAGTCGATGAGACCGTATCCGCTTCCATTGTAGCACAACTGCTCTTCCTGGAAGCGGATTCTCCAGAAAAACCCATCAGTCTCTACATCAATACACCTGGCGGCTCTGTTACGGCTGGGTTGGCAATTTATGACACAATGACATACATTTCGTCTCCTGTCACCACCACTTGTGTGGGTCAAGCGGCATCCATGGGCTCTTTACTCCTGTGCGGCGGTGCACCAGGCAAGCGCTTTTGTTTGCCGCATTCAAGTGTCATGGTTCATCAGCCAAGCGGAGGATATTTCGGGCAGGCGAGCGATATTGCGATCCACGCAAAGGAAATTTTGAGGGTCCGGCGCCAGCTGAATGAGATCTACCAGAGGCATTTGACGCGGCCGCATAGCTTAGATGAGATCGAGAGGCTAATGGAGAGGGACAAGTTTATGGGAGCGGAGGAAGCTCTGGAGATGGGCATCATTGATGAGATTTTGGATAAGAGGAATAAAGAGGAAGAGCAAAAGAATGAAAGATAGATCTAGAGCACAGCATAAGCTGTAGCCTGCTTGGCCAACTCCTCTCCAGGCATGTTTCATTGGTTAAATGCTCTTCAACGATTGCAGTGTCTCAATGACTTCCAAAAGCAGACCTTACCACCCGGGTCTTCAACAAAGTGAAGCACAAGAAAAACTTGGTACTTTAGGTCGCTCCTTTTACATCTCTCTTTGTATGAGTAGAGATACGCTAGTGTTTCGATACCGGTCCGAGAGTAACACCGCTTCTAAGACAAGTAAGGGATTTGAAGAGCAGCAATTGTCACTTCTCTCCACATCTCATTCATATTAGATTTTCTTTCCAGATATGTCGGACTACGGCGGCGATGGTGACGACGCTGACGATGGGTTAGTTCCGTTCATTTTGCGCTCCAACTTTCCCCGTCCTAGTCCCCACTAAATGCTTTCTTTACAGCTACGATCCCTATGAGCCAACTTACGACGACGACGAACCCTTCTCTCCTCAAGACCCTGACGATGTCGAAAATCCCAACGCGCAAACCCCCGCCCCAGGAGGTACGGAGGATCCAGACGCTCTAATACCCGTGACGAACGGCGTTGGGGGAGCGGTCGTGGAGATAAATGGCGGAGGTGGAGATGTAAATCAACATCAACAAGGAAAAAAGAACGCGGTGCTGGGATTGAAGGCAAAGAAAATACCAGAGCATGAGAGATCGACGACGCCATACATGACTAAGTATGAGAGGGCGAGGGTGTTGGGGACGAGAGCGTTACAAATTAGGTTTGCTCTTCTCCATCCCAGCGACTCAGAGAGTCTTTGGAGTAGCCATGGTCCAGCTAGTGGATTGAGCTGCATCGAGTGGTTCCAAGGGAATGCTCCCGTGGGTTGCGGCCAAGATTGATGCAGTAGACACAGCTGCGCAGAAGAATCGAATCATGACTGCTGACCCAACATGATTTACAGCATGAATGCGCCTGTCCTAGTCGATCTCGAAGGAGAGACGGATCCGTTACAAATTGCTATCAAGGAGCTACGGGAGAAGAAGATACCTTTGGTCGTCAGACGGTATTTACCCGACGGAAAGTATGAAACTTCCTTGTTATTCCATTGCCATTCTGGGATTGACATCTTCTAGGTATGAAGACTGGACATGCGAAGAGTTGTTGTGAGATGTTTGGAGCATGGCGATTCTAGTGGCGTTACTTTCTATGGCAATTGGACATGCATGCATTGCGCAAGGCGCATAGCAAATGAATCCGCGTGTTGCTTTACAGCTACTAATGGGCCTTGAAGATACCCAAAAACCGGTCAAGATCCATTTTCTAGGCCATCTCATCGCTTGCTTAACTTTTCGAAGCTTATTTAGCCTGCTCGTTGTACATACCATCGTCACAGGCCCTACTTTGAGTTGTAGGGCTACGGCAACAGATGGCTTTACCAAACGTCTTGACCGCGGAGTCTTCAATGGACTTTGCAGCATTATACTCTTCACATTACGATCCCACCATTCGGCATTCCCACCTACTCATGCCCTTGTGTCTTCCCGCTGAATACTCTCGAAGACTTCTTGACCCTTGAGTCTGAACACCAAATCCGCCTCACATTCTTGAATGATGACCGCAGCTGCGTGCTCTCTTTGCACAATTTGACTGAACCTTCCGCCGGTGGGGACTAGGGACGCCTGGCCCAAACGATGGCTAAGATGGTGATTTACAGGGTCATTAACCAATTGCCAGATATGGTAGAGCTGTTGGAGATAACGAATAATTCATGGCGCATGCAAGGTGAACACGGACATGGTGTCCGCACTTTGCCTTTTCCAAAAACCAGTAGAACGGCTACGATACGCAACTGGTTGGGTGCCGGTGCCGACGATTTGCATGCTAATTCATATATATAAGGAACACCCATTGCCTAGAGACATCGCCTGTGCTTTTGCTTAGCATCTCCGCATGGACCCCAAATGCAGCAGTGGCGCATGTGACAGCTTATTCAGAATTGAAGTGATCTAAAGGTAGGCTCCAAGCAATTGTGACCTCACTGTCCTGCACTTAATTGCGAGGCCAAGATGGCAACACAGCATCGCCCGCATCAATTTCACTTACCACAGCCTTGAGCTCCTAAAAGATGTATATCATGAGTTGCGAGGCTTGAGAGGCCTGAACGGATGCTGAGAGCGGCTGCCTTTAGCTGTTCGAGACAGAAATTGGCGTATCTCCGGCATAAGAAGTTAGTAGTGGCGTAGATTATCAACGACTTCAGGCAGTAATTGATCTGCGCTTTCGTTGCATCGAACTCCCAATTCGCCCTCGTTGGCTGTTTCCAGACCTGCGTAAAAGCTTTCTTCTCCTCTGACCCCTCCTAGATTCAGGATGCCTATTGGCAAATGTCGTTCCTTCGCCCTTTTTACCAGTCTCCATGCTGAATAGGTGGCTAGACTGCTTCCGACGACTAGAAGACGGCTGGCTTTGTCTATGGCTCTCTCGGCTGCGGTTCTGATATCTGAGGCAATGGACTCCCCAAACATAACGACGGCAGGCTTCAGGACGCCAGCGTTTGAGGTAGGCGACCAAGCGCCGTCATCATCGACCTCGACCGAAGCTCTTGTACCGTCCGCCAAGGCTGGGGGACTTGCGAGACATGTAGGGCAGGCAGGATACCTGAAGGTTGTGTATGGGGCATTCGGTACATCCACGTCTCCGTCAGGGTTACTCTTAAGCCCTCTTGCCTTTCGCTCCCCAGGGTTCTCCGAGTTCAACGCTCCAGTTGCCAACATCTCTTCCAGAAATGTTGCCCACTGCGGATTCAACGAGGATAGCGAATTCTGAAAATCGCTCCTGGGAAGCTGATTGTGACAATGAATGCAGACCAAGGAACGTAGATAACCGTGGAGCTCTATAGTCGGCAAGTCAGGGTGTGCCATGGAATGGAAAGAATCTACATCTGGAGAGCACCGATTGAATTAGCTGCTGCTGAAGACGTTCCAAATCAAATATGCTCCTGCAGCGATTTGATAGGATGTGTAAACATATGCACAAGGCACCCACTTTGCGTAATCACGCTGCTAACCAGTCCCAGCTTGCCCAGATCTTTCACTGCATTATGTGCGACGTTAGGCCTCGCTTTGTGCAGATTGGTCCATCCCAGAAAACTTCTTGCCCAATAACGTTTCCGAGCTTCGTGGTTGCTGGTGAATTCATTGTAGTAGATGGGTCTATATGTTCTATTCAAAGTGTATGTGCCTCCCGTGCCACGGTAGTCAGCTAAGCCGGAGGCGACGGATATTCCAGCTCCTGTAAGCAGCACCGTCTTTGTAGAAGCTTTGTCGACGGAAGAAAGGTGAGCATTCGGCAAAACCTGAGGAGAAAGAAACCTGGTCAAGGCATGTCTAGCACCTGTCGGAGTATTGGCAAATCCAGGGATGATTGTCGGAGGAGGTAAGGGCCCAGTGTAGGGTATTCGCATCAAAGGTTTCTTCATAAAGAGACATTGATGCAGGTGTTGGAGGAAATGAGATTGTTCAAGAAAATGAAGTGATCATGCATCTATGGATCTTCGGATACAGACAAGAGAAAGGCGGAGGCTGAAAGCAATCGCCGGCCTGGTGGGGCCTTTTGCGATAATAATTATTTGGGCCACTAAAGTTGTAGGCAGATTATTCAGATTATTGAGGGCATTGTTACGAAGAGATACTGCCGCACTCAGTTGTCCGTCCACATGTGCTCGTCTGTACCAAGCGTATAGGCCGAGTAACATCTGACGCTCACCCTGGAGGTAGCGTCCAAAGTGCTGCTCTCATGCCGCTTCCTCGAGCCTGGAAAAGCTTCGAGGCGCGTGCTCATTTCACCCAATTTCTCTCCCCTAAATTGAGTTGCCGAGTCTTGGTCAGGACAAATCGCCGTCACACGCAGATTCCATTGAATTCTGTTGTCATACTATCTTCCTCTACCACTTACCACACCCGCTCTCTGTTATATTCTTCGAGTAACCACTTCCGCCATCGTCTAAGGCCCATGATGACTTCCACAACCCTGGCGCGCCCGCACAGCGGCCACTCGCATCAGCACCATCATCATGATAATACGTACCTTGTCTCTACAAACAAAAAGGACGCCGGTGTCCGTATTACGCGAATTGGTCTTTACGTCAATTTTTGCATGGCTATAGGCAAGGGTCTCGGCGGCTACTTCTTGAACTCACAATCCCTCATCGCCGATGCCTTCCACTCTCTCACAGACCTTGTCTCCGACTTTTTGACACTGGCAACGGTGTCTTGGTCGCTGAAGCCTCCAACTTCTAGATTTCCTAGCGGATATGGCAAAATCGAAAGCTTGGGATCGCTAGGTGTCAGTAGCCTGTTACTTGCAGGTGGCATTGGTTTGGGGTGGCATTCGTGTGAATTATTATACTCGCAATTCTTCCTCGATGCTGCCTCTTCAATGGCAGTACATGGCCATAGTCATGGTGGTGGAGTTTTTGGACATTCGCATAGCCACAACCCAGCAGATATGGGAATCCCCAACGTTCATGCAGCCTGGATTGCTGGTGGCTCTATAATAGTCAAGGAGTATCTTTATCGTGCCAGTAAGTCAAGCCCAAAATTTCGGAAGGTTGCATTTCCCCCAACGCTTCGTCGGTTTGTCAAATCTCATTGCCAGGAGTATTCGAATTTTGCCTTTCACCTTTATTCAGTAGCACTGCACTTCTAAGACGACGTCTCAAAACTACGCATATCATCAGATCACTACTCTCCCTTCTCGTAACGAGCTCCTATGAGAAGCACAGCTCCAGTTGCAGTAGTCCCGCTCATCTCGTTGCATCAAGTGATATTACTTACTCACGTTGATGGAAGCGAGCCCATTTATTGGAGCAACAGCTATCTGTGATGCAGACAGTGGCTAACATCGTTTATCTGCAGCTATGAAAATTGCAAAGGAGCGCAAATCCTCCGTCCTAGCTTCAAATGCCGTCCACCACCGAATAGACTCGCTGACCAGTATTGTCGCTCTCGTTGCTATTGTCGGTTCCCACGTGTTGGACAATGTCTCATGGCTCGATCCCATCGGAGGTCTTGTCGTTTCAATGATGGTTATCAGAGCTGGCTGGGGCAACACTGGTTCTGCCCTACTTGAGTTAGCAGACGTTGGCGTCGCAGAGGAAATCAAGGTTTCTGTTCGAACAACCGCTTCAAAGGCACTAGGAGAAGACCGTTTTGGATCTGGTAGAGTCATGGGCAACCAAATCGAAGTTCGAGATGTGCAAGGGGTTAAAGGGGGACAGAACTATCTGATGAACGTTGAGCTCGCCGTGCCAGGAGAATGGACAGTGCAAGAGACGCGTCTCGTAGAAGACGCGGTCCGAGAGAGGGTTGGTTCAAAAGTTAGAGGTGTACGCAGAATCAGAGTCAGATTTGTGGCCAGAAGCGACGAAGCGCCAGATTTTGCCGACGAGTTCATTGGTGCAGACGTCTCTTCAAGCAGCCCGGAGCCAGACGACCTCGACCACACTGACAGCCACTCTCACAATCACACCATCGACCACACCCATGACAAGGCTTTATCCAATGGTGATGCAAAAAAAAGGAGTTGATAATGTTTTGTTCGGATTTGACGGGAGGGAGATACATGAAATTACAGTAGCTCTCTCACCCTCTATTGCCAAAGCTTGGGAACTTTGCATAGCTACGGCGAAATGGGATGACTGGATATGCCGCTTGATCCCGGTTGAATGCGCACATCCTATAAGCGATTTTGACAGGCCGGTAAACGGAACTAAAAATAAATGACCGGGAATGACTCATTAAATTCAAGGTCTCAATCGCAATACGCCTTTTTTCTTCAACTTGCTACTCGTACAAATGACCCAAAAGGTCATACAAAGTCTTATTCACTCCCTTCTCTATTGATCATTGCTGCCGTTTTCGCCGGAGTATGTTCGTTCCTCTGAGACTAAACAAACGTCATTTCATTTCGCGCCAAACGGCTTTGCTGGATCGCGGAAATCACACGGTCACACCTGCTACTAAAGTAAAGTGTCTTATGAACTATTGCGCTTACGACCGCGTTTCCAACAAACTATCGCATTGGGAACAATGATCGACGAGAGCCCTCTTTACCTGGGCTTCGACCTTTCAACTCAGCAGCTGAAAGGGATTGCGATCACCTCCGACCTCAAGGTTGCTTATGAAGCAGTTTTCGATTTTGATGCGGATGCTACTGGCTTTGGCATCAAGAACGGTGTACTTACCAATGAAGCGGAGCGCGAAGTTTATGCTCCCGTTACCATGTGGCTGCAGGCTATCGACGCGGTTTTGCAGAGACTGCAAGACAAAGGGATTGACTTTGGCAGAGTGAGAGGGATATCGGGCGCAGGGCAGCAGCACGGCAGTGTTTACTGGAGTGAAGACGGCGAGCATGCTTTGCAAAACCTGCATGAGGGCAAATCGCTGGAGGCACAACTACACCATGCGTTCTCTTACCCCTACAGCCCCAATTGGCAGGATAGTAGTACGCAAAAGCAATGCGACTCGTTTGACCGACATCTTGGGGACGAGGTTCAATTAGCCCTACATACCGGTAGCAAGGCTCATCATGTAAGAAGAAGTTTATTTCCCCGATCCACGGCAAATAGCTCCATGTTCCCATTGCAAGTGAAATATTCGACCCAGTATAAGGAATGAAAGCTTTCACTCTGTTTTGTGTGAATGGTACATTCGTTCAGTCTTGGCTGATTTAAGAGTCGCAGCGTTTTACAGGTCCTCAAATCTTGCGATTCAGATCTAAACACCCCGACGCGTACTCAAAGACTTCTCGTATTTCACTGGTGTCCTCCTTTCTTGCCTCGGTATTTGTCGGCAAAATAGCTCCCATCGATATCGCAGACGTCTGTGGCATGAACCTATTTGACATCAAGGCAGGTAGCTACAATCAGAAGTTGATGGCCTTAGCCGCTGGTCCCTCCGACCTTGAAAGCAAATTGGGCCACGTACCGGAAGACGGAGGAGGTAGTTTTGGTGAGGTCCAAAAATACTTTGTTCGACGTTATGGCTTCAATCCGTCATGTACGATAGCCCCGTTCACTGGCGACAACCCCTCGACTATCCTTGCATTACCTCTTCGGCCTCTTGACGCAATCGTTTCGCTCGGCACTTCGACTACTTTCCTGATGTCAACGCCTCACTATAAACCAGACCCAGCTGTACACTTTATGAATCAGTAAGCACCTTACCAGAGTTGTGTTTTCCCCTTTCATACAATTTTTCTATTAAGAGAGACGCTGACTCCGGAATGGTATAGCCCTACTACATCTGGTCTTTATATGTTCATGCTATGCTATAAGAATGGTCTGCCCCTTTCGGTTATTCCGTGCCTCCCGACAACCTCGTTCTAACGTTAGTCAGGGGGCCTTGCGCGGGAACAAATCCGGGATGCTCTTCCACCGAGCCCTCCTGGTATTTCAGACCGATGGTCACTCTTCAACTATCATGCTACGCATACTCGCCCTCTCGGCGCTTCTATTGAGAGCTCTCCGGCAAAGATAGCCCTCTATTTCCCTCGGCCTGAGATTGTCCCGAACGTCCAGGCTGGTATATACAGGTTCACTTACACTAGTCAACAACCAACCGTCTCTTCTCCATCCGCATGGAAACTTCCCGAAGACGACTGCCGAGCCATCCTCGAATCTCAGTTGCTATCTTTGCGCCTACGAAGCCGTGGAATCGTAGCTCCCCCATCTCCAAACCCCCAAAATGTTCCAGCTCAGCCTAGGAGAGTCTATCTTGTCGGAGGTGGCAGCCGAAATACCGCCATCGCAAAGCTCGCAGGAGAAATCCTGGGCGGCGTAGAGGGGGTCTATCGCCTCGACGTAGGTGGGAATGCATGTGCACTTGGAAGCGCATATAAAGCTGTCTGGGCCGTGGAAAGAAAACCAGGAGAGACCTTTGAGGACTTGATCGGTAGTAGATGGAGAGAGGATGATTTTGTTGAGAAGATAGCCGATGGCTATCAGGAAGAGATATATCGAATGTATGAGAAAGGGGTTGACGGATTGGAGGCTGTTGAAAAAAGTGTGCTGGAGGAGCAGGCAAGCACTACGGGCGCTGGGCAGGTTTGACACCTTTTCCAGCTCCCTTTGGCGCTCCAGTCTATGCAGCAGTAGTTTATTCTCTTGGCCGTGGACCCTGTAATGAGACGGCATTTTCGAGATCCACAATTCTCCTTAGACATCGGCATTTCTTAACCCCAAATTGACAGCCTTTATGAGGTACCTTGTGGTGATATCTTCATACCAATTACAGGATAAGAGCATCGGGCCAAAGAACAACAAGATTACGGTAAGCACACACGCACATAAAGTAATTAGAGCCGTGCAGCGCTAGTGGACCGACAGCGCCAAGATTTCCTCGCACACGCCGAATCTTAGCTGTTAGCCTGTTGTAGACCCACACGCTCTATTTCGCAACGACGCTGACAAGATGTGAACATGGACGCTCTACCGATCTTTGATGCTGGCGGCATCGAGCTACCCCTCCGTGGCATCAAGCGGAAGGCTATGTCTACAATCAGCGAAAGTGCGAAAAGGGCCCGAGGAAACAACACGCCCACCGACTACGGTTCGCTCAGCAATGGCTCCCATCATAGCAAATACTGACTGATCGTCTAGGCTCCGACGCTTCCGATTATAACTCGGACTCTTCTTGTGATGTGGACGGAGACAACTTCCTCATCAGCAGTGTTGCAACACCATTGACCCCCCTTTCTCCCAAAGCATCCCCTCGGCATCCCTCCGATCTTCTCAAAATTCACCGCTGCACATACGAGGGTTGCGACAAGTCTTTCAATCGTCCTGCGAAACTAGCTCAGCACGTTAGATCTCACACCAACACTCGACCGTTCGTATGTCCTCATGCATTGTGCACCAAGGATTTTCTCCGAGAATCTCATCTGAAGCACCACGTCAAATCAGCGCATTCGAATGTCCGTGAATACATATGTGAATGGGAAGGCTGTGGCAAAAGCTTCGTTACGGCAACGCGATTGAAGAGGCACCATGCAGCTCATGAGGGCAGGGAGAAGTTCAGATGTACAGTGGGTGGTTGCGGTCAAACCTTCCGGAAGCACGGGACGCTGCAAAAACATATTCTGACCGTCCACGAAGGAAAGAAGCCTTTCATCTGCGAAGTATTGGACTTTGATGGAATCGAATGTGGAGTGGGCTTTGACACTGAAGGGCAAATGAAGTCTCATACTGGAAGAGTCCATGAAAGCAATAGCTTCTTGTGTACTATATGCTCGCCGGAATGTCGAAGTACCACCGGCGACCCAATCCCAGACAAACGAGAGGCATCATTTTCAACACACGCAGCGTTACGAGAGCATGTAGAAAGCGAGCATCCTCCGGCATGCGCGGAGTGTGGACAAGTGTGCAAATCGTTGCGGGACCTCAAGAGTCACCTTGAAGTACTTCATGGAGGCTTTGATGTCAACGATTTGATGACTCATTTCTGCCCTGAACAAGGATGTGGGCGAGGCTTCACGAAGAAGGGCAATCTCAGTATGCATATTCAGATCAGTCATAATCAGAATCGATTCGTTTGTGGTGGAATTGATCCGTCAACGTTGAGTCAAGTCGCAAATTGGGACGGATCGAATTCTTGTGGCAAACCTTTGACGACAAAGGCCAGTTTAGAAGAACACATACGCACTGCTCATCAAGGTCTCGCACCGTCTCGCAAAACCAAGAGACAGACCAAGCATGGAGTTTCCGATGAGCCCGCTCGGAAGCATCAAGTGTCTGTCCTCACACGACTTACAGGCGCTGGCTATAAAGAAGAAAGTGGAAGATATATTCCCTGCCTGGTGCTAGGCTGTAGTCACCGCTTCTTGAGAGAGTATGATCTGGAAATCCACTTGCAGTCTCGTCATGGTTTAGCAGACCTCGGGGTCCGGAAGCTGCTGATGGATCAGGAAGGACTCTGCAGTCGGCAGACTCTGCAGGGAACTTCAACATATGCAACGAAGCAGGATGTTGATGCTGAGAGGGTTCTTGATATGCAATTTGACGATGACGTCGGCGTGGTCGATCATGAGGAAACTCCGAGGGTAGGAGCTTCGAAGGGTGGTGATTTCTGGCTTGCGGGGCGTTCACATCACGACGTAGGAGAAAGTGGCGAATGGTTACGTGATGAGCTAGAGATGCGGTGTTTGATTGATGAAGGCCTCACAATGGAAAGGTACGAAACGGTCGATGGTCAAGAGGTAGATGTTATTGATCCGACACTTCGATGAGGGGCCGGGGTGTCTTACATGCTCACTGGCCTCAGATTAGCTATAGCTTTACCACATACACATTAGCCCAAAAGACTTATATGATTCTATAGTACTCTTTCCTCCCACAAATTCGTGGATTGCGGTTAGCGGCTCATGTGTACACTCAAATTTTTGACTTCGCCAACCGTCATTCTCGCGTGACAATCTTTAGTCAATAAAACATACATTAATCAAATCTCTATTATCAACAACAGTTATCATTCGTATACTTTTGGCCTAGAATCCTGAGCTCTACATATTTGAACGTCCTCAATCCTGTTACCCTATAAGAAGTCTGCCTCAAAAGCGGACAACACCTGCCTCTATGACTCGGTAGCACATTCCAGGGGTTTTACCAGTGAGACTGGCCGGCAGCTTGGACAGGAGACTCTATCGTGCGTAGAGGCCTTCTTGGCCTCTTAGTGTTTCTTGAGAGGACGGGTCCGGCATGGATGCACAGGCATGTCGAGCCAGCTGCTCTACTGTATCAACGCCGATGACTCTAACGTCTGGTCTTGAACATAGGTCCAGAATGCTATCGAGATCGCATGGAACCCTCGTGCCGAACAGTCCCTCAAATCACAAGCGTTCGACTTTCTCAACCAGCTACGCTCCGAACCGCAAGGATGGCAAATCTGTTTTTCGCTGGCTCTGCGAGACCCGAAGCCTTCAGAGGTGGTCCGCCATGTCTCACTCGACATTGTTAACAATGCTATAGAAGCTGGACATCTAGTGGACCAAGATATGATTTCATTGAGGGATAACATACTTGCATACATGCAGAACACCTATGGCGCTGCTGACAGCAGCAACGTCCAGCTTGATCCTGTATCCATCCAGAACAAGATTACACAAACCGTTACGAACCTCTTCACGGCGTTGTATGCTAATCATTGGACGTCTTTCTTCCACGATATCCTGAATCTAACTTTAACCACTGGTTCGACCTCAAGGGACAATGCGGCAGGGGTCATGCTGTACCTTCGCATACTGGTTTCCGTGCATGACGATATTGCAGATGTTCTACTACCGAGAACACCCGAAGAACAAAGAAGAGATAATGATCTCAAGGATCTAGTAAGACAGCGGGATACGGCGATGATTGCGTCTTCATGGCATGAAATTCTGGAGCATTGGAGGTCTAGAGATGACTCTATTGTGAAGCTTTGTCTAACAACAATCGGAAGATGGGTAACCTGGACAGAGATTTCAATGGCCGTTAATGATTCTCTGCTTAGTCTACTCTTCGAGTTCCTAAACTCCCAGCAGTACTCAGATGGTAATGAACCAATTCAGGAGAGGAGGGACGCCGCAATCGAAGCCTTCATCGACATCTTGAGCAAGAAAATGAGCGCCAGCGACAAGCTTGAATTGGTCGACGTTCTCAAGGTCAATGAAGCTGTTATGCAACTTGTAGGAAGCCGAGAGTTGTCCGAAATGCGCTCCACAGCAAATTACGACACTGATCTTGCGGAAGGTGTTGCTAAGCTGGTTAACAACGTTGTCTGTGATATCGTCAAAGCTTTGGATGGTTCACAAGGCAACGACTTGGTATCGCAGCGTGGGAGTGCACAACTTAAGACTTTCCTGCCGCATGTATTGCACTTTCTCTCGGACGAGTACGACGAGATATGTTCTACGGTAATCCCTTGTTTGACCGACCTCCTTACATTATTGCGCAAGAAAGCCAAGCCCAGCAGTACCTTGGCTTCTGAGGGCTCTGCCATGTTACCCCTTATTCTTGATGTTGTAATTTCAAAGACGAAATATGATGAAACTTCATTTTGGGGCCAAGACGATGCTCAAACGGATGAGGCAGAATTTCAAGAGCTTCGAAAACGACTGCATGTTCTGCAGAAAGCCGTCGCCGCAGTAGATGAGAACATGTATATAGAGAAGATCAGGGATGTTGTCGTGTCAACGTTCGATAGGTTCCAGGGCCAAAACGGTCAGCTTGACTGGAGGGATCTCGAGCTGGCTATGCACGAGATGGAGCTCTTTGGAGAGCTGGGCTACAGACATGGTGGACTCTATAGCAAGACAAAACCGGTCACACTAGCTGCTGAGCAACTCATCGGGATGATGTTCAAGCTTGTCGAAACAGGTACATTAATTTATACTACCAGACCGAAAGGCCACCTACTGAAAATGTGCAGATGTCGCTTCATTCTCTCATCCAGCCGTCCAGCTGCAGTATATGATCATCTGCGAACGGTATTACAGCTTCTTCGAAGCAAATCCCCACCTCATCACTCGTGTGCTGGACAGCTTCGTACGGTTTGTACATCATGATCATATCAAGGTCAGGTTGCGATCATGGTATCTTTTCCATAGGTTTGTTAAACACGTACGACAACATACTGGAAGCATCGCTGAGACCGTAATTCAATCTCTGAGTGATCTGCTCCCAATCAATGCTGAGTTGCCAGAAGAGACATCCGAGAACGACAACGAGGACATGTCATCAACCGAAAACGATCAGTCAGCTGTCGCAAGATTCAATAGCCAGCTCTATCTGTACGAGACCATCGGTTGCATCTGTTCCGCACGTTCCATTCCAGTGGAAACCCAAGTTCTGCTCGTTAGATCAGTCACCCACCCGCTGTTCTCGGATTTGCAAGCGCACATTGACCGAGCGAAAGCGGGAGACAAACGAGCGATCCTCCAAGTACATCATTTGATTATGGCTTTGGGCACCCTCGCTCGTGGATTCTCGGATTATATGCCGGCAGCGAATCCAACTACTGCCTCCCCACCCGCAAGAGTGATATCTGAAGAATTTGCCAGGTCGGCCGAAGCCATACT